CTCCTTCCCTCTTCACCTCACCCCCATACACACAATTAGTTTTCCCCAACAACCTGTATGCCTCCTGATCCCTCCCCCTCCCCAAATCCTGTCTGTTCAGGTTTTGTTTTTATTCTATCACACAATTTTGAGTCTTTCTCCTTTGAGATTTCCCGTTCCACCCTACCCACACACCACCTCACTGCTCCATTCTACCAACCACCTACCCGATTCGGACCTCATTACAGTCCCTGCTCACCTGTCCCTCTCCCTCCACCTCCTTGACCATAAATGAGTGCCCAGTTTATGAATGAACTTATTTCGTCCAGTTCAACTGGACTTCCTTCCCATTCTGTTCCCTCCGTTTGTGTTTTTGCGAGTGACTTTATTCGTGTTCGTTCGGCCGTCCGTTCCGAGCAGGATAGACACCATCCATCGAGTCCAAATGCAAACTGTGATTTATTTCTTGTGATTGACTTGTTCTATTGTCTTATTCTCAATTGGTTGACAAGTTATCCGACTATTATTATTATTATTCAAGTTCCTATCGAACATTTATGATACATGCGCCCAGGAACCGGGAGAAATCATCCCGGACTACATTGACTAAGCAGTTCCTTACTTTAACACTGTCTGGTGTTTGTGATTAGCAAGAGTCCTGACAAATCATGGTCATTTTGTTATCGTCCAGGGAGACGGCAGTTGCGGACTATTTAGTATGTGAATTGTGTAACTAAAAGTTTCAAGAAAAAAAACGCATTAGTTGGACAATGCAGTATAGGAAAATGGGTCGATGCATGAAAAATCAGGGATGCGCGCATTCATAGGTGTGATTTAGGGTTGAAACACAATCATTAGAAATTTGCGGAATTGGATGCAGGTTACTGACCATTGGAGTCCGATAATATTGCATGGTTAGACACTTATCCACAAGGGGTCCCTGAAGCCGCTCTGGGACTAGGGTAGCTTTTTTTGTCGCAACGAATTGAATTTTGTTACACTGCAAAAATGACCGAGGCATTCTGTCTTCTGATTAGCTATGAAGCACTGGACAGCGGTTTCGAGCTGGTTGGGTCTCATCATCATCAGAGACTCGTTGATACACTCATTTTCCAAATTTTCCAGGCGGGTATTCCGAAAGTGTTTAGCCTTGTGACCGATTCTGGATATAGATAACTTATCACCATGCTTATCAAATCATGCACTGGTAAAATGGTAGACTAAACCAGGTGATCAGTGTTAACCTGTCACTTACGGTTACTCGACGTACAAGTAGCATAAAGAGAAGCACTACAAAAAGAGCTTCTGTGACGTTCGATGGTAACTCAACATCATGCTCCGTGGGATTTTGCTAACAGAAACAATCTGATTCAGGTGATGCGAGGAGGGAGCATACCGACAGAGATGACGGTCGCACACAGTTAGAACGATGGAAAGTCGTTACTCATTCGTGATTCTCAGTGAACTGACGATGATGACGACGACGACGATGATGATGATGATGATGATTATTATTATTATTAT